CTGTTAACAAACTAACCCGAAATGAACTCACCCCAGAAGAAGTGAGCCTCGTGTGCGAAAAGGTGATTTACGAAGCTGACGTGGACAACGACGGCAAGCTGTCTTTGGAAGACTTTCAGCATATGATAATACGAGCTCCAGATTTTCTCAGGTAATGTTTGCTTTTAATTCCTAACACAAAATTCCTCTTGGTTTTTTTGTCAGAAGCCTCTGTCTCCTCAGCCATTACAGATCATCGCTTTTCCCTGACAGTTTCTAGTAGATTTTTGTGTCAGAAGCCTCTGACGTGCCGGTTTACGTCTCCTCAGCCATTACAGATCACTGCTTTTCCCTGACAGTTTCTAGTAGAGGTGCTCACCGAGGTTTTCCAGACCTGGAAAACAGATGCCAGACAAACCGTGGAGGCTTCTTGACTTACTTCTTGAACCTCCGATGTACCTTTTACGTGACAAAAAGTCCTAGTAACTTGAAAAGTTAGTATTAGCACTGAGGCTCCACTGACTGAGGTCACTGCCAACAGTCTTCACAGGGTTTCTGATGCACGTCTTGCACAAAGCGGCACTCAGATCTTGCATTTGTTTCATCTACTTGTTCTTTGCAAAATAAAGTTTTCCAATTTATTGTACGCTCCTGGGATTCTACGATTAATTGTAGCAAATCCCTTTGAAGAGAGAAAAACTGTTGCATCAATGATCGTTACTTCCATTTTTTCAACAGCACATTTCACATTCGAATCTGAATCTAAGGAAACGTGTAGACGGAACGGCTTCTTGAACCTTCAACAACTGTTACTTCACCCAAAAGGACTGTCCAGGAGAGAGCAAAATGAGAGGAGCAAAGAGGACAATTTCTGGTGACTGAACCCATCAGAGAACTCGTCTCGTTTACCTCTTTAAAAGGAACAATTACGCTCTTCATCAATATTTCCCTGTAATTTAACAACATCTACTCCCCCTCCGGCTAAAGCAAATCCGGCCTAGACAGTGAGATGAGAAATAGTTTTTTAAGGTTCAGAAACCACCAGGTAGTAAAGGAACTTGTATCAACCTATAGCTTCTAAAAAAGAATCCTAAAGAAAGGCCCCATCCGATGAAAAACCCTTGAAAACAGTTTCAAAAACATAATGGTTAATCAAAATTGTGTGAGCAACTCCTCAGATGAGCTTTAACCACCTTAACAACCGGCCCAGCGAATGAGTCTGCGAAGTGTCCTGCTGCGTCTCAGAAGCCTGCTACGGGTGCCGAGAACACAGCAGAGAGCTCTCCGTTTCCCAATCTGTAACGAAAAGCCGACAGACTTTAAAGGACAAAAGAACCAACCCTGGGCTCCCATCCCTCTTTTCTGTGTTCAGAAATACCCGCTTTTCCACACAAGAGATGCAGGAATGAGACTGACAAACTAAGTCCATAAAATCCTCTTTTCATAAGAAGTTTATTTATGCAGTGCTCAGGGTCCTGTACACCAGAGTAAAAACGTACATACTGTCATAAACAACAGTTTTGGTTTTAATACAAACATGAAAATCAATGAGAAGTGTTCAAGAAAGCAGTTGTAACGCGGGATGGGCGGCAGCCAAAAGTGGTCATTCTAAAAACACGATTTACAGTTGTTTTTAAAAATCTTGGGATACATTAAGTTCCCTCCAAGACAAAGTTGTAAGTCCCAAGTCACGCTCAACGCAGAGCGTACGATTCCTGCAGAAAGGCTGGAGACCAGCCCGCTGAACTTGTGTTACCTACGGAAACAAAACTCCAATGATCAGTCGAAGAGAAGGGTCAAGGAGTCAAGCAGCCTGAAGCAATCAGACCGCACGTTACCAGTAACATTCAACTGAACGGATCTTCATCTCTAAATGAAGACAGAAGTTACTCATCATACTTTCCCAACACCCGTGAACTGCTGGTACAAATGGAGACCATCCTCCATGCGGCTGTTTGTCCACTTTCCCTCCAGCATAAACCCCAGCCACTTCATGTCCAAGAGAACAAGAAATCACGGTAGCTCTTGAGCACGATCGTCAGCCGAAGACACTGTCACCACCACAGTAAAACCCCTAATTGTCAGCGAGGTGATTAGCATCTCACACGCAAGGAGAGACCAAACAATTCTCAGCAGCAGTAAAGAGACTTACAATAATCCATAGGATTTATAAATCTGAGGCTGAAAGTCTGATGCTGGCATAAGGCTCAGACGTCGGGACACGAGATCAGCGCAGGACCTGGACAACGGAGGCGTTAAAACGGCAGAGCGTTACAACAGCGGTTCCACCACCCGCTGACAGACGAGCTACCGACAGGTCTGCACCTGAAAGGGTGAAGACTGTCTGAAATATTGCAACCAGCCTCGAAAATAAGGTCGACCACAGAATTCCCCGATCCTCATTAAAGTAGGGGAATTTGAGAACATGCTCAAAAAATGGGTTTGTTTCTCTACAAACCAAGCGTCAATCAGTTACCTGAAATTTTAGTGGCGTTTAGACGACAAGAATGTGTAGTAAGCACTGTTCGCTTTTCAGATCTACTTAAATTCCTCGGTTTTACAGATTTTGGATCCAATTTTTTCCTCCTTAGTTAAAGAAAGCTTAGATATAAGCACATTACTGTACGTATTCAGGCAGCACCTTTTTGACCACCGCCTTTTCCATAATTAAATTAGTGTGTTTTTAAGTGTGTGTTGAAAACACCAACTCCGTATCGTACTTATCCAAGGTTTAGTGTCCGTAGTTAGCGACACGTAGCCAAGCACACGTCTTCAGCCTCCTCCTGTCTTGCGCTTCAGGTTCATACTGCGTACGCCAACCTCGTTTCTGCGCAGTCCGTATTCCCCAGGCGCACGGTGACGACTGCGGTCACAGGAACTGCGGGAAGCTTCCTGAGACCAGGCATCAAGGTCGTCGTCCACTGAGTAAGACCGATCGTTTCGTAAGAGGAAACCATGCTACAAACCAGGCGTGTAAACACACGCGCGACCAGCGTGAGTTCGAACAAAGGGTATTCGCACGCACAGAGTTAGCCTGGAATGCAAAACGGGTAACTCAAGACTTAGAAAGTGGGGAGTGAAAACACAATTCCATCCTTCAGGTTGAACTTGTCAATTAACGCGGTTTTCTTTCTCAAGAGGAGTTACCGATTTAGGGGCTGTCAACAGCACCACCCTGTATCGTGCTGGACAACCCATGACATCAAATTTGATTAACCACTTATTTCTCTGGTGGCTTTGAGAAACAAGTCTGGCTGCAACACACATTGAAGCAGAAGGATGGATGCGAGACAATCCACACTTACTAAGCCACAATCCAACCATTAACCAGCTCTGCTTTGTGCAGGAAAACAGCATTCAGACCATGCCTTAACCGCTGCCCCCACTCTGCCTCCCTAACGTCTTGCAGCACACACAAAGTCCTTCTGCCAGAGCATCCTTGTCTCCAGCCGGCAGCACAGCTCTGCAGCACTTACTGACTGGAAGGCTCTTCAGTAGCTTAATGCGGTTCTACCCCACAAACACATCTGCGTGTCGTCTGCTACGGCGCGTGCTCACCGATGCCTCACGCGAAAAAACCACGAGTAAACCCAAAACCCCACCATAAGGTTCTGGTTAGAGCCAAGCTTTATGATTTGTCCCTGCTCACGGCAGGGGGGTTGGAACTCAATGATCTTTAAGGTCCCTTCCAACCCAACCATTCTGTGATTTTGAACTTGAACAGAGCTCACTAACCTGCCAGCTATACAGAACAAAATCAGGTCGGTAGCATACAAAATGCATTTTTATAAACCAGTGACTTGCACAGTCAAGTTTCCTTGTTCCACTTCAGAAAAGCAGGCAATGCTCCTCTTGAGCCCCACTGCACACTGCAGATTTATAAAGTTTGAAGATCTATCAGTTCCTAATTAACTACAGTAACACTTAACGAGCGCTACCTTGAGGCCAGAGTATAATACCACAAACTGAAGAAAACAAAACTGGTGAGTAGATTCATTAACTTCAAAATCAGCTTTAATTTTACCCTGAAGTGCAGTTGTCAATGTAAACAAAGCACGTTGACAGTTCCAGTGAGTTGCAGGACAGAGCCGATATGTTCCGTTTGAATTAAATACCCCGTAATTTTATCGCTTGACGGCAGACTTGGAAGCAGACGGCTCTTAGCGGCTCCTTGCGCAGGGCTGACAGGCTCACGGCCTCTGAATTGCGAGCACTTGGCTGCCTCGGAGCTCTGCTTGGCTGCTGCATTTTATACGTCGGAATGTAACGGGCCGTTCGTCGGGATCAGTACACAGAGTATTTCCACTGAGGACGAAACGTCGTTTGCATTGATGCGTGTCGTTATCCGGTTTGTCGCTGCTTGGGCTCGGGAACGACCAGCAGCGAGGCAAACCTCAGTTTACAAAAGCTGGTTTTCAGGAAGTGTTCCTATGTGCAACGTTTATTTGCATATGTGAGCGAGTGTGCGTGAGAACACACAGCTGGAAGCAGTGCAATACATTTTCTCGTCACGATTCAAAACCAGCTACTACATCGCGACAGATCTGAAGTCACTCTCAGCTGGAGAGGGAAAAGCCGCCCGCTGTAACAGGTTTGGAGTCAGCGTCCCTGCGCCAACCAGCATCTGCTTCTACGAACAGACACATCTTCTGCACGGGACTCCGACCATCTCCTGTTAAACCTGCCTAAATGCCTGCAGTATTTAATTAAGCACGGTCAGACTAACACGGATAAACTAATTCCTGATGGTAAGGATCCATCATATTTACAGCTCACTTTGGTTTCTTAAAAAAATAGAGATTCCTTTGAGGACGATTTTTTTTTTAACTTCAATTGTACTTGTGGATTGTCTAGAATAACACAACTGCACCAGTAACAGGCAGATAGAGGATCTTCTCTGTAGTAGCAAAGAGGAGATGCAGAAAGCTCCCTTCTACCTTCTGACAAGGTATAAGCCCGTACTGCTTACCCAAGTGCATCAGTCTGATGTTTCGATGCAAGTGTTCTACATGCACACCCAGCATGTACACACACCTGTCCTTTATCAATATTGGCATTTCAGTTTCTGGCTTTGATCATAATCTCTCTAATTTGGACACATGACAGAGGAACAGAAAGACGGAAGCCTGGCAGCAAAGGTGCTGTGTCACAGGTCAGCTTTGATCTGTACTCCCTCTGCTAGCCAATACATGTGCCCGGTGGCAATCTGACAATAACAAACTTGTTTCATCTCCAAAATCGAAGAGTCAGACAATTACCAAAATAAACAATTTCTTATTCAGACGGTCACAGAGTGACAAGGTATGTTGAGAACGCCAAGTCCACAGACAGAGGAAATCTCACTCAGAACAGGCACAGTCCAGCTCGCTTGAGCAGATGCTCACATTAAGGCCGTGTCCCTCACAGAAGAACACATCGGAAAAAGCTGCTTTTCTTTTGCTGGTCTGGAGTGATTTTGACTCCCTGGCTGCTGCCTTGTGGGCTATTGCCTTCCTGAAGACGCAAAGAATAGTAAGTTACTTATTTATCCTTAACAGCCGCCGTCATCACTGTGAGATCTGACGTCCACACTGCATCTATCCCTTGTGCTGAATGCAGCCTGCCGTACGCAAACCCATTACTGAAATCTGCCGGAGTCTCCCCTCCCGTGTTTGAGCCTTACAGCAGCCCTGGCAAGCACTCCGAGAGCTGCTGTACTTCTGGCTTCCGCTGCCATGCCCCGCGCCTGTGCTCCCACTTTCGACAAACTCAGAGACAGCAGAGATTAAAAAACAAATTACAGGACGTGTTTGGCTCTTGCTGAAATGCTGAGGGATCATCAGCAAGATCCAGAACGCCACGGCCCTGTCAGCACGCGCCTGGTCACACGAGGGTGGAACGGTCCGTAAAAACAGAAGGAATCTTTGAAGGCGTCGTTTTGTACAGAACAAACCGACACCAACGTACGTTTATTTGTCGTACAAGACAACCAAATAATTTCTCAGGACGCTTGTGCTCAAGTTAGCATGAAAACCACTTAGTTCTTTACCTGGTTTAAAGGTACTCGTTAGAGACTACCCGGAAGCACGAAGAGGGCCTCCTACATGTCTAATTTATAGGATTCCGTTTTTCAGACTGCAAGAGCAAGAAATAGCATTAAACTGCTCTACCACTCCACTGACTTTCAACAAAACAGAAGATAAAATTATCTAGAAACCCTCAACCATTGCAGCTAATTCCTGAAACGCAGAGACAACTGTTTATAAGCCAAGGCCAGAGCGCAGCTGGATGAAACTGAAAATAAATGTCCGTAACCTCCAGTGAGAGACCACAAAACATTTTTTTTTCTCTCTCTACACGCTGTGCAATAGTACCTGCTGTTTGGCTTTTGGTTGGGTTTTCCCCGGTTTAAATACAGTGGATGAAGATGTTACTCACCAACTTCTTGTCCATTTTTGCTTTGATATCTCTCGCAAGAGTGAAAAATGCCTGTGGCAAGCAAAAGAGTTAGGCGTTACACAGCTAACGATCCAGCGTGTCTGCCTGGTACCCTTCCCGAGGCGCTACACATACTGAGCTCCCGAACAATGCCAGGGTTTCGGTTTTTCCCTCCCAGCTTCAGGTTTTAACGCTCCTTCCCCATCTTTCTCTGCACCTTTTCTAGCTCCGCTGCCTCCTTTCTGAGCCCAAACCCCACAGCGGCACGCACCACCCGGGGCCAGGCCTCAGCCAGTGCCAAAACGTCGCAAGCTGAGTTTCCCAGCACACTGCTCACCGCCGCCTGCTGCAGCGCCCTCGCGTCACGCTCACAGCACCAAACCACATCGTGGAGCTCAGCGCCGGTTAGACAGAATCCCCCCTGAACACCCAGGTATCCACTAATAACCCATCCCAAGTACCTACAAACTGAGCTTTGCATCCAGCCGTGACAGGCAAGTGTTCCCGCTCGTCTGCGCAAAATAAGTAGAAGAGGAAGGTTGCAGTACTTACGTTCTCTATGTTTATATTTGCTTTTGCACTGGTCTCCATAAACTTAATTCCAAAACTTGCAGCGAGCTGAACGAAAGCAGTTTCACGTTAGTGGGATCATTGTGGGAACAGCTACAAACGTGCCCGACAGCGCAGGATCTGCCCCCGCCTGGCGCGATTCGCGGGAACTGGGGGATTTACTCGAGCAGAACAACTTGCAGAAATCAGGAACTGAGTCTCAGCCCTGCCAACATCTCCCCGGGTTTCTGTTCTACCCTCCGCACACAGCTTGATCTGCCCCTCGGTCTTTTCATTTTACTTTTCTCCTGCGTGGGTGCCTCGCCAGCCTTGTACCATCCACAGCACGTACAAGTACCTCTGCTACCTCGACTAAGTAACATCTGACGCCAGGAAAGACAACCCTGGCCACCTTGTCTCACTGGCTTTCAGCCCAAAGGAGACGTTTCCTAAACGTCAAACCCTAGCAACCTTTGTCGTCCTTTTTCTAACACAAAATCCAGCCTGCTGCTTTGCATCTAACGCCTCTGATAATCGCCCAGAATTCCTAACACAGACTCATCTCTTCGATCATCAGAGTGGGGAAACATACTGCAACTCCAGCCTGGGAAGCGTGCAACAGTTCCGCTTGGAAAGACCCCGGAGCACCAAAGCAGCACAGACCGTAACGAGCACAATTTCCATACTCCGAAAAGTCCATGGTGAAACGCAGTAAAGCCACGGCACTTACCTTCTCCCCCTGCTCTCTAGAAACTTGTCTTTTGTCATTCGCATCACATTTGTTCCCAAGGATCATTTTTTCAACGTCTGGAGAGGCGTGCTGAGGCAGAAACAGACCAGAGAACAGACTTTGGCAGGGGTATTTCTAGACAAACAGATGCATAAAGCCGAGGCGCACAGCGAGTACTAGAACCAGAGCTGGTGGTGCCCAACCTTTCCCATAGGTTTACGGGCTCCGCCGGATGCCTCGGCCCAGGCCGTGTCCTGCACAACCGCAGCTCCCGGACCACTGGCCGGGGTAGGAAAACATCAATTCCCTGGTCCCCTGGCCACCCGAGGGACTGCGGTCCCCACCGCTGGCTCCCCTGTGCCAGCGCAACGGAGAACTGTTCGCCGAGGCACTCCAGAAGTTATCGCTTGGTTTTGTTCACCTTATTTTCCAAGGCCCTCCGGCACATGAATTCAAAAGGAACCTCATGCTTCTGAAGGAATTAAATTTCAGCTGCATTTGAAAGAAGAAGGAACATCTTTAATAGTAAGTAAATAGAGAAATTACCTCTTCAATATTCCTGACCCAGTTCCGGATATTTTCAAAAGATTTTTCATTGGTGATGTCATAAACTAACATAATGCCCTAGAGAGGAGGGAGGAGAGAGATTGTTTCAGGCAGTGTCAGTTTAAGCAAGAGTTCAAGACCTGTTCCATCGCAGGAAGGAGCAACTCAACAAAGACTCCGTAAAACCACCGGCTCACAGTTCCACGTAATGTTTCATCGCAGTTTGTGCCCCGCTAGATAAGGGCGCAGGACGCACAGGCACAGAGCGAGTCCTGGAGGAAAGCTGCCTCTGGGAGCTCCCGCTGTCCCGGCGCAGCTCCAGCACCGCAGAAGCACCACAGTAAATACTTAGTTCACGCGTCAGGAGACGGACAGTGGTGCGTGTTCCCGCCAAAGCTGACCCGCCCCGCTGAGCCCAGCACGACCCGCATCGCTCCTACCATCGCTCCCCTGTAGTAGGCGGTTGTGATGGTTCGAAATCGCTCCTGCCCGGCAGTGTCCCTGGAAGAGACAGAACACGGGGCTCGCACAGGCCGCCTGCGCC